GTGAGTTGGACAAGGAATGTGATATGGCAGTAGAAGGGTCTGAGGTAAGGCCTATAAAGCACAATGACATGGATGATCAAGGCAGGTGATTAAGTATGTCTGTGGTTCCAGAGACTGACAACAACATGGGAAAGACAAATTTTGGGGGCGCATGCTTTAGCAGGACTACTACAACAGTGGAAAGTTCTATGCGGATTCAAAATGGAAGCAGCCGAAACGTCATGGATGAAATTGTAACTCTTGGTTTTATGAGAAGCATCAGTGGGTCTAAGGTCAACAGATCTAGGCTCAATATTGAAATATGTCTAGATAAGGCCCAAGATTTGAAGAAGGGCAATAAGGAGGGCCCAAAACTTATCTGACAATAATGAGATGGTAGTGCAACCCACAAAAGGAGATTTGATATAAGCCACGAGTGGTAAGAAAGCTCAGGTTGGAGTTGCAAAAAAGGATAAGAGTGGGGTTTTACGTAAGTTTGTCTCACAAGCTCAGAAAAGGAAAACTGGCAAAGAGAATGCTAAAGGAGTTGTTCGATCCCATGGTAATTAAATAGGCCTTCCTCAATTTGGTGCAGGATCTTCTTTGAACTTGAGGAAATGAACTATCTTTAGATCAGCTGTTGCGGCAATCTTATTGTAAATGGCAAGTAAGGGTTGGATACATGAATGGAGCGAGTCGATAAAGGAATAGAAAGAGGGGTTGGCCATTGAACAAGAACGGCTCGCTTGGTTATCATGGTTTGGAGTACAGTTAAATTTATGGAGCAGCAACACTTTCAGCAGTATAGGAAAATTGTGGGAAGAAATCATGGGATTGGATGATGACACTTTTAGAATGCATTCCTTACACTGTGGGAAGGTGAGGATAGCCACAAAGTATATGGAATTCATTAATAAAACTATTCACCTGAGCTACAAGGGGAAGCTTTACCCAGTGAAAGTTTGTGAAGAGTAGATTGTCATCTTGGAGGTGGTCTATAAACAGTGTAAGTGTTATAAGATGCAAAGTTATGAAGATAGTGACAACTCTAATGGAGGATCCACTACTCCAATGCCAAAGGAGAAGAACAACTAGAAGGATGATGTGGCTGAAGTGGAGGGCCAGGTAGTAAGTGAGTTGGACAAGGAATGTGACATAGCAGTAGAAGGGTCTGAGGTAAGGCCTATAAAGCACAATGACATGGATGATCAAGGCAGGTGATTAAGTATGTCTGTGGTTCCAGAGACTGACAACAACATGGGAAAGACAAATTTTGGGGGCGCATGCTTTAGCAGGACTACTACAACAGTGGAAAGTTCTATGCGGATTCAAAATGGAAGCAGCCGAAACGTCATGGATGAAATTGTAACTCTTGGTTTTATGAGAAGCATCAGTGGGTCTAAGGTCAACAGATCTAGGCTCAATATTGAAATATGTCTAGATAAGGCCCAAGATTTGAAGAAGGGCAATAAGGAGGGCCCAAAACTTATCTGACAATAATGAGATGGTAGTGCAACCCACAAAAGGAGATTTGATATAAGCCACGAGTGGTAAGAAAGCTCAGGTTGGAGTTGCAAAAAGGGATAAGAGTGGGGTTTTACGTAAGTTTGTCTCACAAGCTCAGAAAAGGAAAACTGGCAAAGAGAATGCTAAAGGAGTTGTTCGATCCCATGGTAATTAAATAGGCCTTCCTCAATTTGGTGCAGGATCTTCTTTGAACTTGAGGAAATGAACTATCTTTAGATCAGCTGTTGCGGCAATCTTATTGTAAATGGCAAGTAAATCAAGTTCTGAGCAACTACTGCCAAATGAGGCCGAAGCAACACTTCAAATTGGCCATGCTCTTGGGCTTAATTGTGACGGGAAGGAAGAGGAAGTGATAAGCAAACTAATAGAGCTGGAAGCAAAGGATAAGGAAAAGATGAAGATGAGGGATGGGGGAGCAAATTGATTTGTATCTCAAGGTGGGTTGGTGTCTGTATTTGTTTCCTCAATGAAGTTATTATCCTAAAATGAAAGATGACTAGGTAAGCCTGCTAAAAGGATAAAAATAAAAAAATCTATTTTTTGAAAGGAATGTAGAGATGGTGCTATTACAGGAAACTAAAAAGCAATCAGTTAATAAGGAGTTTGTCAAATCAATTTGGCACAGTGAAAAGATGGATTTCATGGAAGTAGGTTCAATGGGAGCAATTGGAGGGTTGTTGTGCATTTGGAATCCAGATGTCTTTCAATTGGTGGATTGTTGTTACACTAAGAACTTCATCATCTTGTCAGGTACCCTTTATTTCAGTTTTGAATGTGTCACAGTCAACATATATGGTCCAAATGATAGTGCCAATAGAAGGAGTGAGTGGGATTCTTTGGTTAGATTGAATATGCTGTATGAAAACCTTGGTGTTTGGGAGGAGATTTTAATGAAGTTAGGTGTATATCAGAGAGGAGGGGCTACTCTAGGAGAGATAAGGGTATGAGAGAGTTTAATGAGCTAATTGACAACCTGGAAGTGTGTGATATTCCAATGTTGGGTAGGAAATTTACCTGGTGTAATTCTCAGGCTGATGAGAAGTGAAGTAGGATTAATAGATTTTTGCTCAGTCCTGAGTGGATGAATAAGTTCAATTTCAAACTATGAAGGCTACCAAGAAGGGTCTCTGATCATTGTCCTATTTTTCTCATGGAAGATGAGAGGGATTAGGTTCCAAAACCATTTAAATTCATAAATGCTTGGACCCTCCACCCTAGTTTCTTAGCTTTTATGGAAAAAAGTTTGGAAGGAGACTATTGTGGAGGGTTGAAGTAGGTTCAAATGCCTTAGAAAATTCAAAGTGCTTAAACTGGCATCGAAACAATAGAATGTTGAGATGTTTGGCAATGTGGAATCTAAGCTCAAACTCCTTAAAGAGGAATTACATGTTCAGGATTTGAAAGCAGAAGAAAGTTCACTAACTGACTCAGAGTTAACTCGAAAAAGGGATGCAAAATGGGAAGCTTGGAAATTGAGTAAAATGGTGGAGTTATTATGGGTACAGAAGTCCAGAGTGAATTAGGCATTAAAAGGAGACAGAAATACAAAAAAAAAAAAAAATTGTTATGGCTACTTCTCGTAACAACAGGAATGCATTATGTTCTATTAATGTGAATGGAGTTGTCTTGGAAGAACCTGAAGCTATAAGGGTTGCAGTTTTGGATCATTTTAAGAATCATTTGCTGAAAGTTGGTCAAGAAGGCCAAGTTTATTTGGCCCTTACAAATCCATTGAGGGGGCAGATGTTAGGGAAGCACTTGAAGTTGAAATTTCAGAAGCTGAAATAGTAAGAACCTTGAAGCAGTATGAAGGTAATAAAGCACTGGTCCGGATGGCTTTAATTTGATGTTCTTTAAGAAATGTTGGTAGATTGTTAAAGGGGATGTGTTTCTATTCATGGAAGATTTCGACAAAAATTCTAAGTTGGTGCATGGAATTAATAGTTCTTTTGTTGCTTTGATTCCAAAATCTGAAAATCCCTCATGCCTTAATGACTATCGGCCTATTAGCCTCCTAGGCTCTCTGTCCAAAATCCTTGCAAAGGTCTTGTCTAATAGGATCAAGAATGTAATGCCAAAGATTATTAGTGATTCTCAATCAGCCTTTTTATTCAGGGTAAAAGTATTTTGGACGGTGTGTTGATTGCAAATGAGATAGTTAACAGTCGGAAGAAGAAGCATAGAAAAGGCATTGTATTAAAACTTGACTTCGAGAAAGCCTATGACTCAATTAACTGGGAGTTCCTCTTCTCTATGCTTGCAAATTTTGGGTTTGGCGCCAAATGGATCCGTTTGATAAGAGAATGTGTGCTTTCAGCCAAAGTTTCTGTATTAGTCAATGGATCACCAACATCTGAGTTCATTCCTCAAAAAGGTCTTAGACAAGGTGATCCATTATCACCATTTCTTTTTAATATTGTAGCTGAAGGTCTGAATATTCTTTTGGGAAAAGCTCTATAGCTGGGATTGATTAGAAGGGTTATGGTTGGCTCAAATGATCTTGTGATCACCCATCTTCAATTTGCAGATGATACAATATTATTTTGTAAGGCAGAATGGGAGGAGATTGGGAATGTCAAGAGGATTCTGAGATGTTTTGAAATGCTTTCAGGGCTGAAAAGTAATTGCCATAAGAGTATGGTGTGTGGGATTGGTATTAGTAAGGACCTCACTAAAGGATTTGCTGACAAATTGAACTGCTTACGGCAAAATCTGCCTTTAAAGTACTTAGAGATGCCATTGAGGAATTGTCCAAGGAGGAGAAGGTTCTGGTAACCAGTGATTGATAAGTGCAAACAAAAGCTAGCTTCTTGGAAGAGGAGATTTCTATCCTTTGCAGGTAGATTAACACTGATAAAGTCAGTGTTGTCTAGCTTACTAATCTACTACTTATCTTTGTTCAGAATGCCATAAGGGGTTGCAAAAGAAATTGACAGAATTCAGTCTAGATTTTTATAGAGAGGTGATGAACTTAGAAGAAAGATTCATTTGGTAAAGTGAGAGGAGATTTCAAAAAGTAAAAGTCAAGGGGGCTTAGGAGTTAAAAAGATCAGGCTTATGAAGATTGTCTTCTTTTAAGATGGTGGTGGAGGTTTGGGGCTGCAGATAAAACTCTATGGAAGTAGGTGATATGCAGCAAGTATAATAAGGTTGGGAGGGGATGGTGGCCTGTACCTGTGGAGCATCTCAGGTGCTCTTTGATCTGGAAAGATATATTAGGGCTTGCTTTGGGTAGGCCTGATCTGGTGGAGTTCTTTAAAAATAATATAGCCCTTGTTATTGGAGATAGAAAAAGAACACTTTTCTGGAAGGATAAATGGGTTGGCAATGTTTGTTTGAAAGATGTATTCCCTAGATTATATTCTGTAACAGTGGGAAATGATGAATCTGTGGAATTGGTGTATAGTAGAAGAACTGGTGCTGAGGAGTGGAATCTGAATTTCAGAAGGTCTCTGTTTCAGTAGGAGGTGGAGGAGTTGAGGAGAATGACTACAATGTTACTTACTACTCCGGCTCTCAGGAAAAATATGAGGGATATCTTGAGATGGATGGCAGATACCTCAGGGTCTTTCTCTATTACATCAGCTTATAGATGGAGTCAATTGGGTCATGGAGCTAATAGCAAGATTATTGAGTTCATTTGGAAGAATGTATCTCCTCCTAAGGTTCAGTTTTTTGGTTGGTTAGCATGGAAAGAGAGAGTCAAGTCATCTAGCTATCTGCAAAAAATTGGTGTTCTCAATGCTGGTTCAACTGTTAATTGTATTTTTTGTAATGGAGATGTAGAAAGTGGTAACCATGTGTTGTTACTTTGTCCCTTTACATGGAGGATCTGGTCTAATATTATCAAATGGTGGGGTATTCAATGGGCAACTCCTGGGTCTATGAGTAGTCTACTCAATTGGTGGCCTGGTTTGGAAATTATCAAAGCAGTTGAAGTTAATTTTGAATGTTATTCCTTTGGTTGTGCTCTGGTCCATCTGGAAGCAGAGGAATGACTATCTTTTCAATAGTGCTCAGGTTAATATTGAAGGTTTATGTGACTCCATCAAGGTGAGGATTGCTTTGTGGATCAAATCCTCTTGCCCGGTTGTGTTGTACTCAGTCAATGATATTGCGCATCATCTTCAACAGGTTATAGTCTACCTTGGCTGAGGTTACTATCTAGCTAAACCATAGGTGGTGGTCTGCTAGAGGTGGATCTTGAAGAATGGTGTGTTGTTATCAAGTTTAGGCTTGAATTGTGATAACGATCCTCTTGCCTTTCCTCGAACTACTCTGTAATTGTTTGTGTCTAACCTACATCTAGTGTAATTCTGTATATAGGCCTGATTTGGTTTGCAACTTGCAGTAGTGTAGGTTGTGGTAAGTCGTGGGTTGGCTGTTAGGTTGTTGGGTGGTTTTTTCTTTTATTATTCTCCTTGGTGTTGTGCTGGTTTCTCACCAACTTTTGGGGTAATGTAGCTTTGATGCTCCTTGCACTTCCACCTCTTTATTGATGTATTCTCATATGAAATGTATGTTTTTTCACCAATAAAGTTTCTTTTTGCTGATAAAAAAAAAGTTTAATTTTGATAACTAGCTGATGTATTTGAAACAAAAACCTCGCTTGAGAATATATTATTTTAGTAATTTTTTTAATTTTTTACGAAAAAATGTATAGAAAAGTAGAGAGTAATATGATAACTTATACTGAGTTTTTGACTAAAATTAAAAGTTGTCAAATGAGACCTTAAGTGTATTAGTTACCTTATCCTAATATAATTTCTTATTGGGTAAATTACGCTCACCTCCTCTTAGATTTCTGACAATTACAGGGACTTCTCCTGTAATTTTGATAATTACAAAAATCTCCCTTACTTTTTCTGACATTGTCAAGATTCTCCCCTCCTAATAATTTAAGCAAAACGATGTTAACTTGGTTGCGCAAATGACCATAATACACTTTACACTTAATACCCTTTAATTGTAATTTACCTGTATATTAAATTATCATTTTATTTCTCACAGTTTTTTTTTTTTTTACTTTGTATTTTTTTTCCACTATAAGTTTTGAACTTTTATAAGTTTTTTTTTAAAAAAAAAAAAAAATCAACCATTAATGAAATTTAGAAAGAATATCCATGTTTCAGATTTGTATAAATTTTGAGATTTAATTTAATACAAATAATTTAAAAGAAAGAAACAAGGATGGAGATATAAATTTTAGATGTAATAAATAACAAATTATTTGAGTATTTTATTTTTTTAAATAATTTATTTCTTCAAAAAAATTCTATTTTACTTAGATGTAAGAAATGACAAATTTAAATAGTTTATTATTCTCAAATAATTTCTTTATCTTTCATTCCCTACATGTAATTTTAATTTATTGTAACATGATTAGATATTTTTTCACTTTTATATTTATTTTTAAAAATTTTATTATTAAGGTGAGAAATATTGACTTATTTTTTTTAATGATAATTAAAATTTGAGAATATAGGATTGTGAAAAGATAAAATGATAATTTTTTTCATATATATTTATGAGGTAACATTTGGTAATTTTTATAAGTCATTATTTTTATTATAACTATGAAATGTTATTATGATTTTTTTTCTTAAAAAAAAAATTAATACACAAATATGTTTACAAAACAAAAGAAAAATTCATGTTTCGTAAGTTGCTATGGGTGATGCTAGCTAACATTGATGAAGGAGAAAAAAATAAAATAAAGAAAATGGAAAAAGAGGGATAATTTCTCCAAATATGTATTTTTCATATGGGAAAAAAATTAAATGCCTATATGTATTTTTAAATTTTTATTCAAACTCTAATTACTCAAAATAATTATTTATAAAATTGGTGGTTTTTTAAAAAATAAAACATCTTTTATACTTTGTTTCATAATTTTTAAATAAATGATTGTATTTAATCTAGTATAAGGTTTAATGATGATCAATTTATTAGCTCTTTTTTTTAGATAAGGTAATGTTTGGTTATTCTACTATATATATGTTTGTCTTAACAATTTAGAATTTTTTAAAATATTGTATAGATTTTAATAATTTTGTTTAACATTATTAAAATAATGTATGAGTCTTTATTAATTTTTTATAAAACCTCAAGAGAGATGAGTGAAATTTATTATTTGAATATATAAGGGTAATCTTGAAATTTTTTACTCATAGTACATGACGTCAGCATGACATCATCATATTATGTTAAATAAATTAATAGAAGATTAATGGTGGGAGAATCCTAATAATAGTTTTAAAAGTAAGAGTGGTTTCTATAATTATTAAAACTACAGAAGAAGTCTCTACAATTGTCAAAAACCTCAACGGAGGTGAGTGTAATTTACCTTTTCTTATTTTTATTTTTATTTTTGAAAATCTAACTTTGTTTGAAGATGTTTAAACAAAGTTGTCTACTTTCAAATTTTTTACTAGTTATTTGCTTTATTCTTAAATTTTTATTGCTTTGCCGATTTGTTTTATTCTTAAAGTTGAGAAACCAACTTCTTTGCTTGAGACATGCCAAATTTTGTGTCAAGTATGGAGTCATAAATTGATTTTATTCCTTATAATTTGGGTCATTTGAACTTCATCCCCAGTACTAAAAGGAAAATATTTGGGACCCCTACAAAGGAGGATCTCCACGATCCCTACTGATATATTAATCATTGATGTGTTTGAATTTTTTAAAGAATTATGTTTCACAGTAACATGAATAGTTTAAATCATATAATTCAAAAGAGATTAAGCAAAAAAATTGCTTTTAACCTCATCCCTAAAAAAAGGCTAAAGTAATCCATCTAAACTAACAGAAAGTGATTAAAGCATGCCTTGCAATAAAATTAAAAGTCAAATTTTAAAGAAAAAGATAAAAATGTACCTTCACCATATTTTTTCATTTAAAACTTTAATTAAAACTAATTATACACAATCAATCCTTTACAAGGTACAATCATTCTACTAATGGAAAATTTGTTACATATCAATTATTGATTAATTTAACTATCAATCAATTAAAATATAGGGGAGTTTTAGGAAGATAGTTAAAAATTGACTTTTTGACTTTTTAACTTCTTTTTTTTTTTAAGAGATGATATGGATTAGAAGTTATAAAGTGACTTTTAATTTACTTCTCAAAATACCTCATAATCTCATGAATGTAAGTAAATTTTAAAATAATATATTAGACATCTCAAATATAATTTAAATAAAAAATAAGTACACAAGCAAGTACCAACCGAGGGTGGGTGAGATTTCGCCCACTATTGGGGCCAACATGTCAATTTTCGATAGCCAATAATGTAGATGTTGGAGAAGTTATTAATTGGTTTAGAAATAATTGGATTTCTTTGTAGTTGAATGTAATGTTTGTGAGAGAAAAAGTGAAATGATTATGGATTTGATATGACATTTTATCTGGATTTGTTTTTTAAGTTTTTTAACCAATTTTATCTTTTAGTGTTTTTTTTAACAAAAAAAAAAAAAAAAAAAACACTTCCCAAACACTACCATGTGTCTTTCTAAATAAGAATATTAGAGGTATTAAAAGTTTTATCAAATATTTTATATCAATGTGAGCTTTATATTATGTAAATTTTATATTTATGTGAGATATTTCATAAAAAATTTAATAAAATTCATAGAATCTCTAATATTACTCTTTTTTTTTAAAACATCTATTGCACCTAAATTTGTTGTATAACGTCCAATCATATCATTGTGTAACAAGTAGTTGCTCGGTTTTAATCACAACTATTCAATTTTTATTTTTTTTAAATTACAAAAAAATAATAATAATAATAATTTGAGTTTGACTTTTATAATAAAATAATTTAAATCTTAAATTTTATATTTATTTTCAATATAAATCATTTGTTAAGTAAAACTGATAGAAAAAATATTTTAATCATTAAATTCAACAAAAAGTAACGTTGAAGATAAAAGAAAGGTATATTGCACTGTTGAAATTTAGAGATATTATAGTAAACACTACAATTTTGACATAATTACATTGATATTAATTTTAACAAGGTGAAATGAATTACAACTAATATAGATGGTGTAAATATACAAAAATAAATAAAGTAAAATATAATTTAGTGTAAAAAAATATGACAACATCATTTTTTTATTCATATAACTAATGAACTACCGATGGAAATTGGTTAATTATTATGTGAATTAAAATATTAATGAGCTTAATATAATTGTATCAAACTTGTACAATTTACTGTATTTTTTCAAAATTAAGAAGAGATCAATATAATTTACCCTTAAAGAAATGAGAAAATTAGGTTCTTTATTTTTCAAGTCAAACAAATTTTAATTACCCTATAAAAAAGTCCAAATTTTAAATCAAATTGAATTCGGTTGGTTTGACTATTATATAATTTATACAAACTTATTAAATTGAGTTTAGAAATTAATTAACTTAAAATTATATTCAATTTTTACTTGTTAACTAGTCGAATTAAAATATTTGATGCATAATAATTATTTTATTTAAAAAGTCTGCTTTTATTCTGTTGAAGAGAAATTTAGTTTTGTCCAGCTGGACATGATCTCATCACTAGGTCCATATATTCTATCATTTTAATGATCTAAATTATTTATCTTATAAATTAAGAATTATTTATAGTATATAAACAAAAGCAGAAGTAGAATTTCAACCTAGGAGGGGTCAAAGTTGGCTAAAGGTTAAAGATAGATTTAGGGCTCGTTTTGAGAACATGTTTTTTAGTAATTTTTTAATTTTTTGGTTAAAATATAATGTAAAAAAAATTAATATGTTTGAGATAATTTTTTAACTTTTTAAGAAAAGATGTGCAAAAAGTAGAGAAAAAATAGAATCTTTGACTTTTGGATATGAATTGTTGACTTTTTTATTTTTTTAATAATTTTTTGACTTTTTGACTAAAATAATCACTTGCCAAACCAGGCCTTAATGTACAAAATTGTAGAATCAAAACAATCAAGTTTAATTGTATTTTTTTAAATGCCGTATAAAATAATATTATTATGAGAAGAAAAGCATTCCATCCATCACCTTTCAATTTTTAAAAAATGAATAAAGTTGTAATTTATAATTAAATTTCAATCTAATTATATTACAATCAAAAAAAATAAATAAATCTAATTACATAAATTTAACAGTTG